TTTACCCATTGTCAATCCAGTACTCATCATTTGTCCATTTTATTTTTAACTGCACGCGAAATAAAATTTGAAGTAATGTTCAGTTTATGTCATTTTCCTTTTATTTTACCCATTTGCTATTCTTTATGCGCTGCATGTTTAATTGAGCCCCTTTGCTCTGAAACTTTCGCAAGGTTTTCCTGTCAAATTTTCCAAATAATTGAAATTGTTCATTTAAAAAATTTGAATGAGCATCTGTAATTGTGCCTCTTGCAAAGACCTACAAATAATGAATTGATGAGGTGGGGTTATTTGAGATGTAGTTTAGCTGAGCCTCCACTACATGTTACATTTTAAACATTGACTTCAACATTTCTGTCGTAAGTCATGGAAATAGTCCACTCCTAGAGGCCCCGTATATTGAAATATACCAACAGGTTTAATATGTTATGCATACAAACATAATAGAATCGTATGTATAAAATTATCAGAAGGTAGGTAATCTCAATGTCCAGTCAACGCAAGCATAATGCCAATCAAGCAAGGTAAAAGGAACTGTTTTTTCAGCGTGCACGTACAGTATGACAGGGAATTCAGGACAAGATCACGGGGCGAGACTAGGCACAACTCGAGTTCAATTATACTGAAAAGATTGTGCAGTAAAAGAAATCAATGGTAAAGATTATTTTGATTTAAAAAATGACCCCGGAAAGTAAAAATATAAACAAAGAAACAAATGAAAAACAGCAACTAACAAAATGTAAAATGTGTAGGCCTATTAAAAAGAGGAAAAACAAACCGATACGAATAGGTGCGTCAACTGACGCAATGATAACTACGGGAATGTAAGTTGAAGAGAATGCTCAAGTGAAGATTTAAAAGGTACACAAGTATCAAGATGACACTTCAAACGTGACGTGGAATGGCGTAATAGTGTGCCAAATTAAAGTGTTCAGTATGATTCAATTAAATTTCATCGACATGCATTAATATGCTGCCTAAGTTTATAATGTACTCAAAACTTTATGATCCCAGGTCCACGTCTGTTTGCCCATGGAGGTGGTTTGTCCAGTCCCGCCAAGAAAATAATTAATTTATGGATTGTAATACTGCTTTTGGCCCCCTAATCAGCTGTAAAAAGTCTGTTATATCCGTTTTTTCCAGTTTTGTTTTGTCCTGGTGCGGCAGTGTATGTGGAGAAGGGAGGGATCTCATTCAGTAAATGCTTCGTCCGCATAACTCGCACAACGTGTAATACAACGTGTAATACACCGAACAAGTCTTGCAGCGATCTGCTGTGCATGACGATTTGGCGAGGTGAAAGGGGAATGATTGGTGTGTGTGGTGCAGACGTCATTGGTTGTGTACAGATACATGAACACTGCACTGTGTAGTTCCGTGTGTGCCGCATGTGCATTCATGTATGCACCAAGTTGTTCCAGGCATGCAATCAGCATGAACGTGTTAAAGCTCAGCTCCACTTGATATCTTTGATTGTAGTTTCCATTCGCCATTGTGCTGTTCATTCGAGGTATGGCTGCCTCGTACAAGGACCCGTTAATGGCCGCCCTCAAAGTAGTGTGGAGGCGAATCATCAGGCAGCCACTGAAGATGGTGGGCCTCCTCACCATTTCTATCGGCTGCCTGCATGTCTGTCTCCGCTATAGTGAGTGGGGACGGAAGCACAGCGCTCTCGGCCGGGGAATTCACGGCCTGACTGGTGCTGTTGGCAGCAGCAAGATACCGTCGGACGCTGAACTGTAAGTAGTGTTGACATGCAGCTAGTTCTACGATATACGTACATGTACAGTACATGATGTACGTGTACATGCATGTTCTGGTATTGTGCGGGTTACTGAACGAGCGTGCAGTATACTCGTAAAAACAGGTACATTTACATACCACTTTGTTCGGTGTGTATGGGGTGTGTTGCCTCGAAAGCGCGGCAGTTGAGGCTTTCAGCAGAATTATTGTGTAGTATACAACGTACTTTGCGTGTGACCATAGAGCAAAGCAGAGGTGGTCTGACTATTTCATTGAAAAATATATGTAGGCCTGGGCCCATGCCACACAGAAAAGAATTGTTTTGCCAGACACATGTGGTCCACCTTTGAACTCAGTGCTCAAAGATGCTGCATGATTTCCACTGTATACATGTATAATGATGGAGTTTTTTGTGGCTCCGTGATATTCTACAATGGGTCCAGTTTGAGCTAGCTGGAAGCCCTTCGGAAATCAAAGCTAATGAAAGCTTCCTGTTAAGATACAGTATCAGCATGCCAGCCTTTAAAATTGCGATTACACCCTGCATGCTAGACGTAACTGTTTATCAGTAAATGCTTCAGAAGTTTCTCAGCTAAATTTCACTTTCTCACGGCTGTTATAACATTTTAAGGGAAAACGAGTGTTGTCCGTATATGGAACTCTTTCCCTGGTTTTACTGGACATGGTACAGTTTTTTGTTTGCTAGAGTGTTTGTCCGTTTTGTTTTAGTTTTGAGTTTTGTTTATGTTTTGCAGTTTTTTGTGTAGATTTGATTAGCCGGCTTCGATTGTCGACAATGCACCCAACCGCTACTTCTTCTGGGGGGGGGTGTTACTTACTGAATGGTTTGGCACCGGAAGTTGAGGATTATAAAAGTATACAGAACGTACAGTACAAGTATGTTGTCCATCGGCTACATAAAATTCGGGGCTCTACGAAAACTGTATCATAAAGTATGATATTTAAAAGTTTTTAATTTCCTCTGATTTTTTTATTTCAGAAAAAGCTCCACACCAGATAGCATTAACATGCATGAAATACGTAATTTCAATGTTATGAAATTGATCCTTGTGCCTACAGCAGGGCAAAGCAAGGCTTACAGAGCAGACACTGATTACATAGAGGCCTACGGTACAATCCAACCCTGAGGCAATTTCTCAAACGATATTATTATTAACTGAACTTTTTTACATCAGGAGTGCACAGCAAGAAAATTAAACGCGAATCTTTGATTCTGTCCATTTTCTATTTGTATTATATTTTACGTGCGTGTGCCATACATTGAGACATGCATGCTATAAATGATACCATTTCTGTCGACAGGGAAAGTGGACAGCAACTTCCAGCATATCGGGAGTGTTCGAATTCAAATAGGTCCTCTTTGAAGCCGAGATGCATCGCCCGCAATTTGAGCATCCGGGGGAACGCAAGTAACAAAGAAAGTGTTCAGGGCGAGGAATTTGGAGATACGTCGACAAAAAGCAAACATTATGCTCCCTTCCCATGGCCCAGGAGAGAGAAACTCATGCCAAACTACCTTCTGAATTTAAACGGTGCCGAGGAGGTTAAAAGTACTTCGTTAAATAACGATGTGCTGATATTTTTGCACCACAACAAAGCCGCGGGCACTACTGCCAAGGAGTGCTTACGACAAGTCGTTAAGGCCACTGATCGAGAACTGGGCCACGTCCTTAGCAGTGAGGGCCGCCTGGGCCTGCTTTCCAATCTCAGGAAACTGCACCGTAGAGGCAAGCGGCGTCCCGACACCTACTTCGGTGGGTACGCGTTCGGCGCATGCGACGAGCTGCAGCAGCCTTGCTCCTACTTCACAGTCCTACGGGACCCTTACACCCGGACGTTGTCGTCCCACTCGTACTGCAAGAAGGCGAGGACGGATCAGCTCTGCACGGCCCTGCATGCCGAAAAGACAACGCTTCGCGAATGGGCGCTGCACCAGGGCAGCTTTTTCTTTCGGCAGCTGGTCTTCCATCCCGAGTTTTGCAGCGACAAAACCAAGTGGATTCCGTTTGTTGACTTGAAGGGAGAGCCGCACGAATTTGAGGGCTCGAAATCTTTGGAGGACGCCACCTGTTGGTTCCGCCAGAAACTCATTATGTCTCTGACGCTGAACCGTACAGAGCATGATGCCCTGCTTCAGTACTGTCTCGACAATCTTGAACATTGGTTTAAGGTTATTATGTTGGTCGATGAGTTTGACCTCTCATTGGCCATGATGGAGCTTGCATACAAACTACCTTTTCATGAATTATGCAGTGGTAGCCATGTTAACATTGGATCATACGAAAAGCATGGGAATTCAACAAATATAAAGCTAAAATCTAACATAACCAGTCCCAATTCCTCTCTCCTCAATGATTCCATTGCGAATCAAATACGAGATCTCAAGGCAGATCCAACAGTTCAAGATGTCCTCAGGGCAGACATGATGATCTATCAAAAAGGTTTGGAGATTTTTGAAAAACAGAAAGACATATTCTTGAAAATTAATCATGGAGAAAAAGTGAACGCGGATTATTTTTAATGCTGGTATGAGTCGATCAGCGGGTTGTCAACTTTCTTCGTTAAAATACAACGTTACTCTGGTTTGTTCCTTGCCACCTTGCCAACTTTTTTTATTGTAGTTAAAATACCAAGGGCCATTTTATCTCACCATAGAGGAAGGACACAGAAGGAGTTGCAACTCTGGCACTTCAATGTGTTCAATGATGCATGTCGTCTAGTCAGACGAATAATAGAAAATATTCCAAGCATGCCTAATTACTGCCCACATTCTTTGCCGGACAAGCGGGGCCAGCAATGTTTTGTTTGCAATTAAATACAAACTTTTGCTGTGTCCAGGAAATAAAGAAAAATACCTGATATTAGACCTACGTTTGTACGGAAGCGTATAAGGGCCACTTGCAAAAAAAAGTTTTTCGAGACACTATCTCTTGCCGCGGCTAGACAGGCGAGTTGCAAGTGGCCCTCATACGCTTCCGTACTTTTGCCATCGTGAATAAACGTTTTTAATTTTGATACACTGTTCCATTATCCATGCAAAGTTTGTAAGTTAATTCACCTCCCTTGGAGAAGACTGGCAAACCAAATGTTGACTACTACTGGAAAGCTAAGTTCGTAAGGAACAAAATGTGCCATCTCGTAAAATACGTTTTTGTACATAATTATGTAATAATGAATATGATTTAAACAAAACACAAAATCTTGTGAACAACGGGCAATTTATTCCAAAAACAACTCCAGAAGAAAGCGTTCATTAAGAGCAGTGACTTCACATGCACATTTAGGGCACACCGCGTAATGCAATCAACTGCGCTAACATTAAATCCGAAGTTGTTATGGGATCATATCAAGCACCAACTAAGCATGAATATTCAATTTCCTATACCAGCAGATTACCAGCGAAAAATTGCGGCGGCGATCATAGGGTACGAAGGGGTTTTGTGGTTGTGAAAAAGATGACGCATAGCAAGCGCTCGCTGCGCTCTGGCTATGGACATACCGGGCATGCCAGAAAGCGGTAATTAGCCAGATGATACTATACCCAGGTCAGTTCAAACTCCTGTCATTTTCCTCTATGATTTCACCAACCACCGAATGTCATGGTTAAAGCAGCCCCCAACTCCATTCTGATAACAGGGCAATCGTGGGACCTTACCTCTGTCGATTGCTAACCTTGTGTTTGGGTGTGTACCCTGTACTGTATTTCAAGTCTTTGCGTATGCAACTGCACATCTCAGTTAAGTTCACTTCAAGTTGCTCCCTTGATGAAGTCTCTGAATCTACTGCCTCGATGTTTGAGGGTGATTCAATCGAGTTTTCTATAGGAGTCTACAATCCAGACACAAACTGTTAAGTACCGTCTTTGTCGTTTTTATCTCCAAGTGCTCGCTTTCTAGTTTTTTTTTTTGGGGGGGGTGGATTTGTTTTGTTTCATTGCCTCTTCGTCCTGATTATTGGTCAGTGCAGTCGACCAACTTAGAACTGGACATGTTTCCTTCATTGTGAATGCTGTGTGCAGTGTTACGCTATTTTGCTCAGCGTATCTTTTGTTAACGTACAGTCAGTGGTTTTACTGTGTCAAAATCGTGTTTAACGACCTTTTACCGTTGAACAAAGTGATCCGTTAAGTTTAAGTAACCTGTCATTGCTGCATCTTGCCAGAGCTGATCGAAATGAGTTCACACTTACTGAGCATTTTTTACTTAATTGTTAATGTCTTATGTGTCATGTCAAATTTTGCGTCGTTTTTATTATGATTTCAAAGCGATTTCAGCTTTAAAAAGGCCCACATGTAAAGTCAATGCCACGGAAACAAAAGTTTGCATTTCACTGTTACTAATTATTTATTTTCCCCACTTGTGCTCGAAAATTAATTAGCCATCTTTTCAAATGAACAAACATCCTATCTAATTTCATTTTACGGAACGTTGGCCGATTAAACTTCTTTTGAATTAAATCACTATATTTGATTGAATTTTAAACAACAACACTATATTTGATTGAATTTTAAACAACAACGATTTTTAAAAAAAAATCACCGATTTGATCAACATTTTTGAAAGGGCAAAAGAATTTTCAACTGATTTGAAGTTTTCCCAGTACTTACAGTATTGATGAGAAGTATGGATACATGTTGTTACAGATAGTCTTGGTTGGCTGAAATTTTGTGTTCAATTAAGGCACTTGCTTTTGCATTCAGTGAATGAATTACTGTCGAACCTCATTAATAAAATATCCTTCGGACTTGGCAAATCACTTTGTTACAACAGGAACCTTGTATAATGATAACAATTAAAAACAAAGGATTGGGATCTAAATTTAACTTATGAGCAGAATCTTGTAGTATAACGGTGCGCTTATTAACGAGGTTTGACTGTAAATGATTTATCCTGAATTAATGTAACTTGATTTAAAGTGACCACCTCTGAATTAAACATGGTTTTAAGTATGGGTGTACACATTATGCATCTATCTTTCATCGCAAGTATTTTACTGGGATTAGAAATGTTGGTCATCATGTAATGAAACCAACACCAGTCACAAAATGTGACCAGGTATTAACCTCAGGAAGGAGCCAAATAACAAACAAACCTATTGAAATGGGACTGGTTTTGGAGAACATTAAGGCAAGGTAAAATTCTAATGTTCTAAACCTACATGTAGCATGTAAAATAAGTCCGTAAGCAGTTGTGGTTGATGGCATTTTTTCACTCGGTGGCCCTGATGTTTGAGTTCGTGAGTGACAATTTCCTGTGAACTCTAGTTTTGGCAAAAGCTTGAGAGCCTGGTTTAACACCCAGTACTCTGACCTTGGCACCCGCATCTGAAGAAACTGTCTGCACTACATGCAGGTATTATTGAATTGAATTATTGAATTATTTTATCACCCAAACCTGTCACAGTCAGGTCCGTATTGTGAGATTTGTTACAATAATTAAAAAATGCATTAAAACACAAGATATTCTCAATAGTAAGAACACTTAAAAGTTTAATTAACCGTAAAACACGTTAGAAAAACAAACATCCATGCACGTGAATCGTATACAAAAAAGAAGAAAAAAATAGACAGAATAGGCCTACATATACACGGTACAGACTACAAAAGGCACGACATATGCATGTACAAGACATTACTTGACACTACTACATGTGGTTATCAGTGTTCTCTAATCGTGTCAAATATGGGTTGGCACTTATACCATAACTTTCAACCTGGAACTTCGGTTCTCAGATCAGAAAAGATGCCTATTAGTAGTTTTCATGTTATGACTGGATGTGTTTTTGATATTACAATCAGATGCTCTCAGTTTTGGCAAGATTTTACGATGGTTAAACACAATTCCTCTCGTCTATGATGTGGTGTCGTGATCTTTAACCCTAACCCTCCTCAATCCTTCACCTGTTGGAGGACTGAGGAGGGTTAGGGTTAATGATCTTGAGCAAGGGCACGTTGGTGTATAGGTGCTTTACTGTGCATGTTACGTAGGCGTAAAGACGAGGACGGTGGCTGTTTGGTTGTCAATATATAATCATGGAGCTGTCAAACACAAGGAGTTAGAACGAAGTCCTACAGACCGTAATCCGATTAACCGCTCCGGTCGGCTCCATAGACAACGCGCAGTTACCAGCCCCAATGTTGAAGACCCTAAACGTTCTTTGTACACAGTGATCGCCACCGCCAGGTACATGTAGTTGGTAACCCACAGACTAGCCGTGTTTCGCTCTGGCATACTGGAGTAAATAAATAGTGGAAAGATGCATGAAGAAAATGCTCAGGAGTCAGGGAGTGATCTCTGCAGATGCGCTCGAAAATTCCAAATCAGCGTTGGTTATTTGGCAAAGATCGGACGTTTTAAAGTCATTTATGACATTTTGCGTTCCCGGCGGTAGAGAATAAATACCCAAAATGTGAACTGCTATATTTATATCATAAGTCACAATCCTAGTGGTTCCTACGGTTAAAAGAAGGTGGAAACATGCCGCAGGAATGCATTTGACAACGTGGTGAAGGTTCATGCCGAGACAGTTGTGGACAGAAAGGACAACGAATCTTTCCATGATTTTGTGTGTTTTTTATATTTTTCTCTGAACCAGCTACATTCTCTCAGTTTTCTTGTGCGTATATTTTTTGGAGAATTTGTATTAGTAATTCTGTTTATTGTCAAGAGAGACGTTTTGGGGATGTAAAGACGTAACCAGACTTTCATTGTCATTGGAATATCAGAACAATCACTAAAATTGTCGAAATTTAAGTCTCCGATGACGGTGGTTTCCGTCTCTAGGCGGCGATGTTTAACATGCGGGAAGTGTTACAGACACGCATGCGCGGTACCCACAATCCTTTGCAAATGCAACTCCGAGCATTCCTCATAGCCCGCAAGCGGCGCGGAATTTGTTTTGTCCTTGCAACACGTGCAGTGCTGCCGGTGGTCATCATTGACCCTTTTGATCTCTGTATGTGCTTCTCCCTGTGTTTAACCCTAACTCCCCAGGGTGTGCGCAAAATCATATTAAAATTGGAGGATTCAGGGCTGTTAGGGTTAATACCTCTATGATATGATTTAGTAATGACTCGAAAATTACTTAAAATTGGTCCCTTAAATTTAAATCCAAATTTGTGTAATTTTATAACGAAAGAAGGAAGTAAAAGAAATTACCACACATACACCTGAGTTTGCAAATTTGAAAATCTGATGTGCCAACACTGATTTTACAGTTTAATGTGCTAGAAAATTGCTCAAAAGTCTAAAGACGATAATGCACCCGCTTCCAGATTTCAAATGGAGAGAAAAGCTGTTGAAGAAATATTTCCTTCATTTTAAATGTTTCTTCTGGAGGAAAATATGCAGGTAGGCAATCACGAATTCGGCACTCCATATAGTGGGGATTCGAACGCTGGACCTGAAAGTACAAGGCGTTGAAATTGTAGTTCGCCGACCTGACTACTTCCACCCGAAAACTCCCTTTTTACACTTTCACGCATGGGAGGGTTCCAACTCTCAAACTCTCCGATATTGGCCGCATTGAGTGATGCAAGAAAATGTGTAGTGCATTACATTGATGAGCTTTTTTCACATTTCCATGTATTTTAATTGTTCAAGCACTGTTCCCTTTGCCTCACCGCAGACTTTCCCCCACCAACATGATCCTGTTTTCTCGCCTTCTCGCTCGGCGCTAGCGGGTCTACGCCCTGAAACCGGCGACGTGCCCCGTCGTACTTTTTTTCTGCCACTCGCCAGGGAGGCTTGATTCCCTATTCCCATGAGCTAAACGCTGTGGTCTCAATCACTGCCAATGTGTGAACATTCATCTTCTTCAGCAAGTGAAAAGCACGTCTTCTCTTGAGAGTCTTCACAGCCGGTGGCACAGCGCTCTCATGCAGTTCAGGGTGCTGTCTCATCTTACCACCGATTTCATCACCCCCACTGGCGAACTGTGAAATGGCGAGAGCCGGACCAAGCCCGACATCAAAGTAATATTAATGTTTACAGATGAAAAAAAAATGTATCTTTACACAAACCTCACTTCCATGAAAAAAAATAACCCACCGGATTCCACATCGAGACCCTGCATTTTTAGCGCAGTGTCTTTTGTGAATCAGGTCAGACGTTACTTTGTTACATTTTGTTATTTACATACATGTGACATTTTGATGAATGATCAGATTTTTTTGCGGGAGGGTTCCTGTTTTTGACAAACGGCACATGTACATCTTCCACTTTCGACCAGAAGCAAGGCTCACCTGAGTTTGCGTATACAAAAAAAATATGAAGGCCTAAATTTACCATGTATCACTTGTCGCAAGAAGCACGTTACGGGAAGTCGCGGTTGATTCGATGTGGATTACAATTATCAAACTGTGCACTCATTATTTGATATCTGATGACGTCATCAAGGTGTCATTGTTCTAGGAGCATCTTTGTATCTGAGGCATTGCTTTGTGTAACTTTAAAGATACAACATTGCAAAATGACCCAAAATGTTTTTGTGAAACTTTGGACAAAGTAAATAGGGATTAAATAAATATTCAAAATTTAATAATAAGTTGCGTTATGATGATGTCCTCATGACGTAAACTTTGTGGAGTACACCTTCGGAGTTGAAGTTCACACCAACTTTCAAGCTTATGCATTGTACCATGTTGAAAAAATGGCCCGGAGAATTATTGTCTGTGGGAAAAAAACAGAAGAGAAAGGTGGAATCGTACGATTTCATCAGGGCAATTAGGTTGAGCCCAATCACCTGATAACACTAAGTGTTATCACCAACCCTTTTGCGTCCGTCAACTGGAAATTTGATCCCAGCCTGTGGTAATGAGTTGTCGCCCTCTTGCCGTTGCGGTTACGTGGATCTCTGTGCAATAAAGCGCTGTCTCCTGCCGTCCCTCGCGGCATCGGTTTACTTGTACAGCATACATCATTCATGCTATCGGAAGAGCCGAAATCCGGACATGACCGAGGCCATCATCCGTTGAGAGATCAGCTTTAACACGGTCCCAAGTCGCACCCTCCCAGCCGACGGAGTGTGACGCGCCCGGCGGTGGTGGCAGAAGTCTCCGCGGACAGAGTTGTGAAATGCTGATCATTTATGGATGAGCCTATCATCTTGCGTGTTGACCATACACTTTGACTGGAGCCAGACCATTGTTGCAGCGCTGAGGGAATCTGGATGCTCTTTGTCCCGGGTGACAATTTTGCGGGGAAATAAAGGAGAAAATAATCTTCATTAGTCCGAGGGTGTTAGGCTTGTATAGCAAATTTGTTATTAGCTTTTCTTCCACACACACGTGTAATACGCAAAGGCAGTTTCTTCGATTATCAAGAAAAAGCGACTAAAAAGATCAAATTTGCTACGAAACAGAAATTACACCTGAGAGGTTAAACAAACAAAATTGCATAGAACATACATTGTCAAAACAATATCACTCTTAATTGGGGAACATCGAAGACAAACGTTATGATTAATGGCAGCACGTGTATCGGTCAAATCGGCGCAAAAGGACGCCAACTAGAAAAGACGAGAAAGAGGCATAAATGCATGCTGTTATTGAACTTGATATTTTTTTCTGAATGGGATTCATTCGGACAGGGAGACTGCTCTTTGTTATGCAATTACAGTCGCTTCAATGACTCCAGTGAACAGGTCTCATTTGATTCAATCTTCGTGATCCTGAATTACCCTCTCAGAGGTATACCTCGTGCGATTACTGCAGCTGATGTTTCTCTCGTGGGGAGGGAAGGCGTAGGACGACCTAAATTTTGTATCGTGTTATTCCCTGCCTGACTTTGTTTCATGTTAGTGAAGAGTTTATCAATTTTTGTAAGTCCTTTCAGCATGACAGGAAAGCAAAAGACATACTCAGATCTCCCTTTTAAAGTCGAAAGTCCGTAAAAGAGCATCCTTATACCCTTTTCTGTCGTACAAAAAGGTCGTTTGTCGCAGGCAGTGATCAATTT